TCATGGATAGCAGCTCTTTCAGAGCCTCTTTTAGTCTATTTGCACCAGTCTGAGATTTTTTTCTTACCAGGAGACAGAAGCAAAACAGATATTCTGCAGTCATGGCTTCTCTGTGTCAGCCATTAATACCTGTGCAGCATACCTACCAGTTCCTTCTTCTTTCTCATACTCCAACTATAGCTTGAAAAAAACACTTTCTAGTATGAGACCATTATGAGCTTTCGCCTGCCTGATCTTATCCCTACAAATATTGGCTACTTGTTTATATTCTTCCTTGGTTGCTACCATGACAGTCATATAAAGGCTTATTTCTCCACATGTAACAGGGTTGGGAAGTGGCTGGATAGCTCAGTGATACAGAGTATGGATCCAGGGTCAGAGGTTTAGTTCCCCACTGTGCCCTTTAGGAGCAAAGCCAGCCTATGTGGTCTTGGGCAAACTGCACAGTCTCAGAGCATCTCAGAAGAAGGGAACGGTAAAACACTTCAACTATCCCACACACTACACCAGAACAGAGACAGAGTTCTAACTCCTGTCCTCTGAAGATGCCGGCCACAGAGACTGGCAAAACATTAGGAAGAAAAACTTCCAGAACACAGCCAAACAGCCTGAAAAACCTACAACAACTACTGGCCGTGAAAGCCTTCGAGAATATACTTCTGAGTACTCTATATTTTGAAAACCCTGGAAAGGGCTGGCATAAATTGGAATCAGTGTGACAGCAAGTAACTGTCATTATTTAATCAGACCAGGAAGCCCTGGTCCACTGACTAGAAAATTAAACACAGGAAAATGTATTGGTGAGTGATGATGTGTGGATACAATAGTTACACCACAAAAGGGGGCACAATTTGAAGGAAAGCTGAAGTAAGAGTCCAGGAAGCAGTAATGTAATGAACGGTGTACAAGGTCTGTACAACGTTTAGAATATACCACTTGGCCTGGTTCCACTTTTTTTCCTGATTTAACATGTGCACAGATGGGGAATCAGTTTGTGGGTTGCTACAGTCTACCTTAATACTGTATTGTGGGTACTAGATGAACTCATATGACCGACATATTAGGAATCACATTGGCTTTAGAGGTAAAGACTGTATCGCTCATGGAAAGATACACTCTTTACGTGCAGACGCTCCCATTCATTCCTCAATATTTCCAATTCAGAGTGAGAAAGTAAGTTTTCTTGAGATCTTGGAGAACTGCTACCAACCGGTGTAGATAGTACTAACCTACAGTAGTAGCTACTCTTTTGCAGCTCTTTTGCCAGCAGTCTTTGCCCATGAAGCAGTTCCACCATGAGACCATTCTATTAACATATATCTGAGATTAGTCAAGACATACTGGAAAGGCATTTCTGGTAGCCAAAATAGTACGCTCAGAGTGGTCGCATAGACCAGATGGGCGGGATACAAATCAAATAAATCAAATAAATAAATAAATAAAAATAGATGGACCTGTAGCATGAATTGGCAACAGGACAATTCCCTATATTTGTATTAGTATTCTGCTACAGTACAGTACCTAAAATCCTAGACGGCATCTTAAAAGATCTGCTACAGTACAGTATCTAAAATCCTAGACGGCATCTTAAAAGATGCTTAGGATTCTAGACAGCATCTTAAAAAACGGACATATCACCTTACAGACAAAGGTCCGCATAGTCAAAGCTATGGTTTTTCCAGTAGTGATGATGTGTGAATGTGAGAGCTGGACCATGAAGAAGGCTGACCACCAAAGACTTGATGCTTTTGAATTGTGGTGTTGGAGGAGACTCTTGAGAGTCCCCTGGACTGCAAGGAGAACAAACCTATCCATTCTGAAGAAAATCAACTGCGAGTGTTCACTGGAAGGACAGATCCTGAAGTTGAGGCTTCAATACTTTGGCCATCTCATGAGAAGAGAAATCTCCCTGGAAAAGACCCTGATGCTGGGAAAGTGTGAAGACAAGAGGAGAGGGAGACGACAGAGGATGAGATGGTTGGACAGTGTCATCGGCGCTACCAACATAAATTTGACCCAACTCCGGGAGGCAGTGACAGACAGGAAGGCCTGGTGTGCTCTAATCCATGGGGTCACGAAGAGTGGGACACAACTTAATGACTAAACAACAACAAGCAGTACCTAACTGGGAAGAAATTCTCATGAATATTGTCTAGCTGTGCCTTAACCCTTCATTCTCATACATCTAATTCAAAAGTGTTAGCCAGTTGTTTATTTCCTCCACACACAGATTATACAGAGAAACTCCAGTCTAGATTAGTTTCTAGATATAAATTTTTGTAACAGCCTGTAGCCAGTCCTACACGGAGAACCATCACAGCAATGACTACTGAACATTGAATTGCTCGGTAGAAGAGCAAATGCCTTACGTCCATGCTGAACTTGAGCAGAATCGTCACTGGTCAAAAGAGCCATGGGCCATCTGAGCCAGCGCTAGGCCAGCTGAAGTTGTGTTGGATCTAAACCCATCCCAATGCAGGGGCGCTGGAAACCCTTACCCTCCTCTGACTTTGAACCGGCACTGTGGCTGTGTTCCTGCTAGAAGAGATTTGGGCCAGGCATAACTCCTCCATCTAGTCCTGCTCCTTCTCTACCCCTTTTGCAGCTCTTTTGCCAGCAGTCTTCGCCCATGAAGCAGTTCCACCATGAGACCATTCTATCAACATATATCTGAGATTAGTCAAGACATACTGGAAAGGCATTTCTGATAGCCAGAAATGATTCTATCTAACCTTCATCCCCTCTAGCCAGTATATCCGTGAGTTAACTGCACCACCTGTTCATAGCCCATGAGACCATTCTATCAACATATATCTGAGATTAGTCAAGACATACTGGAAAGGCATTTCTGATAGCCAGAAATGATTCTATCTAACCTTCATCCCCTCTAGCCAGTATATCCGTGAGTTAACTGCACCACCTGTTCATAGCAATTTTTATCTCCTGATTTTTATATGTGAGCTGGCTGGATTACTCAGTGGTTTAGATATCTGGCTGTGGAGCCAGAGATTGGGAGTTTGGTTCCCCACTGTGTCACCTGTGAGTAGAGCACATGATTATTATTATTATATTATTATAATTTATATGCAATGCTGATAATTGTTTGGGCTGTTGGTTTTCGTATATACCTTTGTTAGCCATTTTGAGTGCCATTTAGAAGGCAGGTAGATACAAATATTTTAAAACAGACAAGCAAATGGGGAAAGTCACTCCTGGTGTCATAAACCTGCTGACTCTGACTGGCTCTTTCATCTAGGTACGGACTGGGATGCTTGTTAACTATCTGTCCCTGTTAGACTGACAGCTTCTTCCCAGATTACTAGTCTCTGGGGAGTGACTGTCATTTGATTATACTGTACTGGACCAACAGGTGGACCATTATCTGACTGATAAAGCAGTTTTGCATACTGTATTCATATGTCCATTGGTTTTTTTAATGTTCATCTTGCTTGCAGGGGAGGGAGTGAATGATGACATGAGTGGCTCACATGTATCAACCACTTCTGCCTGAGTTTATGGTTCAGGAGAGCCAGTATCTTGCACTAATGATGTGACATTACATCTGAATGCTGTATTTTGAACAGGAAATGGTGGGTCAAATCCCTAAGCATTGCTTCACATTACTGAAGCGAAAAATTCCCACCCACCTAACCTCCACACATCCAACATGTAGCTACTGATCACTTTTTGGACTTACATTCAAAGTTGGTGGTATTTGTCTCAGGAGGAGACATGATGGAATCTGCCTGAAGAAGATTGTCCACCATTCCTTGGTCCTCCAGAACCTCCTGAGGACAGCAAAGTACCATCTTTTGTGATCCAGCCAAGCCTTGTGGTGTATCCATGTCTTTTGGAGCACCAAATCTGTCATTAGGGAAAAGGTCCCCCTGAACAGTTTCCTTCAGAGCATCATCCATAGCGGATTTTGGTATGGTTTCTGGTTGTGGTTCAGAAGGTGAGGATGATGAGCTAGGAGGGACTGCATTTTTCTGGGAACTTGGTATTTCTGTGCTTCCGACATGATTTTCATCTCTGCAGCAGGGGTCTGCGGCATCTGCATGAGCAGAGCTCTCCAGTATGCTTTGCTGCATGGTTTGTAATCCAGAAGGTGACAGAGGGCTTGGTAAAGGCAGCCCTGCTCTTTTCCCCAGAGCATCCTTTCTCAGAGGAATCTTCTGGAATTCCTTCCTGGTCATTGAGTGCAAAAGGAGCTGCCGGCCAGGTGGAGGCGGGCTGCTGCTCTGGTGCAGGGTAAATGATAGAGAGCTTAGTTTTCGTGCTTCCAGACCATTGGCTGCTGTGCTGTGAAGAGGCTGGGATGTTGTGGGAAGATGGCAGGATGTGAGGATCTCATGGCTACGTGGAGGTTTGGGGGGCCCAGGCCTGAAATTTGGTCTGGGAATTCCTCTGCCTTTTGCCAAAGGAGCCTGTTTTGGGGAGTCCTGTATAAAAGAATTGAGGCAGGTTTCCTTTTTCAGGATTGGGCTGAGTGCCTGCAGTCTTCCAGCTGCAGGGGAGCATGTAGAGAGGCCTGGAATGCGGCTGGAATGGGAGGAGGCTCCTAAAGTTGGATTATATCTGTAGGTCCTGTTTGGGGACGGAACAAGCTCCTTTTCCATCTTAAATACTTGCCAGGTATCTTTTTGCTGAAGTAACAGAAGCAAACAAAAGGTTAGTGCAGATGAATAACACAAACAAAACTCTTAACCCAGATACGTTGTCCTGGTAATAACACAGAACTTGCCGTTTGCTTTGCTTTGCTTTGCCTTGCTTCCCTTCCCCTTCCCCTTCCCTTCCCTTTAACTACAGTCTCTAGATTCCCCCCAGTTAGCATTGCTAACTACAGGATTCTGGGAAATGTAGTCCCAAAGGGGATTTTTTCCAACCTTTCCCATTGATTCACGCTTACAAGTACAAACCACTATTAGATTTAGTACAGTTTAGGGACATGGACAATTTAATTTATGGATAGAAAACCATTTCTTTCTGCTATTGTTAAAGAATTGTAAATGTAAGACCATTGCCAATGTATTACAAATGTCCCTGTGACCTGCTGGTACAACCTTCAAGATCACCTTCCACGTGTGTTGGACACAGGCTCTAAGCATCTCCAGCTAGCATCTGGCATATTTCCCTCAGGCATCCCTATTTCAACCAAACATAATGCAAAGTGGAGTTCCTCTTGAATGGGCAACGAAGAACCAAAGGCACAACTAGACAATATTGATGAGAATTCCCTCCCAGTTAGGAACTGCAGCACAATTAGCATTAAATAAATTGCCAGACTAGATTCAGTTGAAGGAGGAGTGAACATTGGTGGAAGAAACATCAATAATTTAAGATATGCAGAGGACACCACCTTATTTCCCAGTGCCTGTTCTTTGCTTTCTAAAAGCCATTCATTCAATTTGTAATTGCATGAATGGCAGCTTGTCTAGTTTGGCCCATAAGCAGAGCTATAATTAGGGTGCAGCAACTGGTGCTTTGGCTAAGGGTACCAAATGTAAAGGGGAATCTACTGGTTAATGTTAGGAAAATAAATGGCAACACCAACTGGCCCTACTGGCTTTCCTTCCACCCGCCCTCCCCTGCGTTTGTCTGGATTTTTTTCCAAATTAACAAAAAAAACCCATTATCTTTCAAGATAAACAAAACAGATCTTTTCAATTTATATATGCTATTTTAAATCTGGGGATTTTTAGGGTCACCTGTTTCTGAATGGGGTGTGTGTGTATTTGGGCATTTGCCCTTTTAAAAAACTTGCAGAAAAGTATAAGATCACCATGATAGAGGTGGTAGGGGTTTTTAAACCTTTGCCGTGCCTCACTAGAATCCTGATCTGGATCAGCTTCCCCCCGCCTCCCATACAAACCTGCTATTTACTTCAGAATAACAGCTTCCAATTTTCTATGAAGCAGAGTTGATGAATCAGGAGCAGAGGCAGACAGGGGGGAGCGAAGGAGTACACAAGGGGCTAGACAACCTGATGCCCTCAGGCCAGTTTCAGTATCCAACTCCTATTATTACAGCCAGCATGGTCAAATGTCAGGGATTATGGGAGCTGGAATCCAAAATCCTTAGAGGCCCCATCTGGAATTAAAGAGTCCCTATTCTCCACATGAAAGGTTTGCTCTGGGTCAAACCTTTCCCCATAGATTTAATATTTACTTTTAAAAAATTATCATATCTCCCCGCCTCTCAGTTTTCTTTTCTCAAGGCTTAACATGCTCATTTTTGTTCAGTCTTTCCTTGTAAGGTTTGATTTCCATTCACTTGATCATCCTTGATGCCCTTCTTTAAACTTGTTCCAGTTTGTTGGCATCCTTCTTGTGTTGCCCAGAACTGGACACAGTACTTACTCAATCTGAGGCCTAATCTGTTCTGAATAGAGGGGGATTTGGATACTGTACTTCTGTTACAGTATGTGACCTAAAAAAGCATTGACCTTTTTTTGTAGTCACATTGCACTGTTGACTCATATTCACCAATTTTCTTCTCCTTGGTGGTATTATCAAGCCAAATAGCCCCCATCTTGTAACTGCATCTCCCCCCAACCCCATGCAGTACAGTACTTTGCACTTATCCTTGTTGAACTTCATTCTGTTTTCATCCCAGTGTTCAAGCCTGTGCTCAACTAGTTATTCCATAGGAGCCAAACTACATCTTAACTTTGAACTCCATCTTCTGGAATTAATATTTTATTAAATCAGTTGTGGAGACCTGGGTGGGAACTGGAACCAAGATCTAATAGTTTCTCTTGTACTGCAGCCCTGAGAAGGGTCAACATAGTGAGACACACTCTCAGACAAAGTTGCAATTAGCCACAGAGGAGGAAATGTCTGCACTCAGATTTACAGGGATGCACACCATGGCCCCAGTCCACACTGGAGGACTCTGAAGTTATTAAAAAAATTTATAGAAAGGAAGGTACATTGAATGTGCCAAACATAGAGTCCCCTTGTGAATTTTGGTTGTACAGTCACCATGGCCACGACTGTCCCATTGAGTAAAGAGAAAAGCTATATCCTCTTGCATAGTCAAATAGGCTTGACGGGCATTTCAGATTTTCCAATAACATCTTTGCTAGAGGAGCAGTTGGGTGGCTGCATAATATTCCCTCTTACAAAACCACCTTTAACTTCCCAAATTATAATGTCTAAATTAGAAGCCTTTGCATGCACTTTCGATCAAGTGAAATGATCTGCTAGTGGTTTAATGTAGTATCTAGGAGGAAGCAAAGGAAAATGTGTCCCTACAGACTTTGGAATTTGTCCAGAATTTGGAAAGTTAGAAAAGAGACTGGATAAGTATTTATGTAACACTGAATATGTTATTCTCTTTTGGCTCTATTGCCAATATCCAACAAAAAATGCCAAAAAATAATCAGTTAATCAAGGGGTATTCTGATTTTCCATGTTTTTCTTCCCTTTCCCCTGCTACCACCCCATCAGGGATTCTTATGTTAAAAGAGAACAGTGAGGCCTTACCTGGAAGAATGTAGATGTGCAGAAGCTGAATATTCACCATGTACAAGCATTTGATGTCCTTGCTCCTTGAAAGGGCAGCTGGCCCCTGCCCAGTCTCTCATAGACCACAGTGAGTCCAGCAAAAAATAGATATATTGCAGTACAATGACACTTACAAGAAGCACCACAATCCTACAATCTCCAGATCCCCAGGATGTCAATCCCCATCTTCATATGGTTTGCCCTTCTCTTTTTCTATCCATTCTCTATAACTGTGGGATATTTTCCCATTGTTGCAAAGAGATGTTGTGGGTGAGAGAGAAAGAGTCTGGGAGAACTTGGAGCTGAACACAGCTGGATGCAGAGGGAAGAAGGAGTAGGCAGAGGCACTGAATGAAAGCACTCATAAAGAGCCCCAACTAGGAAATTCAAAACAGGAATGAGTGGTTTCTAAAGGTCTCAGTGCACATGACATTATCAAAAGGTATAAACATAGTACATTTTTATTCCAAAACATTGTGCAGAAGACAAGCAATTACAGCTTTAGAGAAACCTGGTTGGTTGGATGAAAGAGTTAATTAATATCTTATGCCTGTGTCTTTCAGATTTCAAAGGTCAGCAATAAAGACTTAAGGAGCAGAAAGGCAGAATCATGCTGATATCCAGATCCCCTTGTTCACTTACTTCCAGGCAAAAAGTGAGAAAAGTGCTTTTTTTAAATGATAGCTCCCAGAATCAACTAGTCTGTACAGCCAGTGTGCCACTTCCACATTTTGAGTGTCTGTTCTTGAAGTTGAGAATGTGAGATAAGATGGGGAGTCTGTCTTTGTACTGCTCACTCTGTTGCCTAGAGAAGACCTCTTACTTGAGTTTGCTGAAGTGATTTCTGGCTGATATTGGTATTCATGTTATTGGTACTTGCAGATGTTAATGTTTTAAAAAGTCAGCTGGGATAGGTGTAGCTCAGTACTGTATTTCATGGTAGCCATAGGCATTTCTCAACTGATATTTGCCACCATACAGCAGAATAGGTCTGATTTTTATAGCTGTGCAAGTGAACAGTAATCTGCTGATGAGATTGTCATGGAGAGGCTACTCCTTAGTAGGGTTTCCACTCACAGTCAAATCTCATCTAAGGAAAATGTGTGCATAGTTGTATTACCCCTCTAACATTAGCCAGTATCATGCTGAGCTGCTCTATCCGTGCAGCAGGTATGATTGCTGCTGATCTTTGTAGCCGAGAGGGGTGTGTGCTTTGTATTGAAGGCTAGCAGCTTGTACCACTCAAGGATTTTTCAAAAAGCAATTCATATGTAATGGAGTTAGTTTCTGTCAAGGAACAGGCAAATAAAGTTGTTTTTAAAGCACTATAATGACAACAATAACTACTTTGAGGTCTTAGAATTATAACTGTAACATATTGGACATAATTTCATTGGTGATTTGTGGTGGTATACGTGCAATAGTGTGAAATCCCAGTAGCAAATAGTCACTTATTAACAAACCACTATCTGTATTCCTTATCATGCACCAATCACATGATTTGGTGTGCAACAGGGGAAAACAAGTGGCAACTCATTAATTAGTGACAGCTTGCTGCTACACTAATACTATTGGACTTATTCTGAAATAAATAACCAACAGGTTTCTAGCCATTATTTTTTGGAAATGATTTTTCAAGCTCTGAGTTGTATCTAGCCTTTTGAAATTTAACTCTTGATATCATCTTTGTGCATTGTTTTAACGTGGTGTCTTCTGAAGTGTCTGTCTTAGAGGATTTCTGACTATATCTTGCCAGAGCTTAGAAATGTTACTTCTTTTGGACTAGTCCAAAATGTCCAGTCAGCTGCGGGCTGAGGATTGTAGGAATTATAGTCTTCAAAAAGTGACATTTCCAAGCGGTGTTCCTGTGACATAATGTAAGTGTCTTGAATCATCTAGAGCCTCTGACCTGCTAAAAGCCATAGGTGGAAAAAACGTATCTACACAACCATCATGCCCACTTCCATTTCCATTCAGTGTTTGTTTACAAGGCATAAAAGCAGGAGGGGGTGGAACAATGCACCCTCTGTGGAAGGCTGAAGCAGCCTAGAATCCTAACATTGCTTCCATTCCAGGCCTTTGACCATACCACATTCTTTGCCACACTAACCCTCTCATCACTGGACTGGTCTATATAAGAGTTATAAATCAGAGACGGAGAGAATGAGACCCTCCA